ACCAAATGGTGAATCGTTTTATTTAGAGCACGATAAAATCATACTAGTCACAAATTAACTTTTAAATAAAATACCTAGGCGTGCCGAAATTTGATCTATTGTCAATTTATTTAAACATGTAAAATAATCATATCTATATCAATTTAATACTCTCGAACTTGTGAAGAAATAACTCTTATGAGATAGATTTCACGATCGTTATAATTAAGTAAGTCACGATGCCACTGGGGCGGTTGCCAAAGGATATTGTGAAATCGCGTCATAGCGCTAATGCGGCATCTAATACTGCGTCCCCACTTAAGCTGAGAGAAGTTCTGAACCAGCAAACATTTGCTCGCTTGGTAAATGGAAAGATCAAAGCGAACGAACAAGTTCGTACAACGGTGTTTCATTGGACTCAGGGAACGAATGCTTTTTTGCTCAGTTATCAATGGAAACAATGCAAAATTATTTTGAACATTCCATTTACCGAACGAACAAATGTTTGCTTGCTCGGACTGTTCTGAGCTCTAGGTGGAAGCGTAGCTTAAGGCTAAGGTGTCTAACGTTTCCACCTTAAAGGTGTGAGGATGCGTAGCGAGGGGTGAGTTTGTGAAAATCCAATAGACTCTCCTTAATCAGCACAGCTGTGGTGGAAACGGCTTAGTGAAGCAGAGTTTTTGTACATACAAAACAAGCGAGAAATGTATGCAAGGCACATTCTCGCAACGCTCATCTGCGCACCGTTTCACAGCTTCGTGACACATCCCTCTAACACATCTCAGGGACTGCTTACTTTATATTAGAGAAAAGTAATGTAGGAGCACTTTTATTTACCCGGGCAATTATGTAATGCATACCCCACCCCAGGGTAAGGTTATATGACTAAGAAGAAACTCCTGACGTAAGAGGCTTGCGGCACAGGGTATGGGACTTCTAATTTAAAAATATACGAGACCATATGTCATTCCGTAAATCTTTTAAGGAATCGTATTGTAAATTTATTTTTAACGCGACAGATTATGTCTTTCAGGAATATCTAGACATTTTCTATTGCCAGAATTTATTGTCAGACTTTAAATACCAGAAGCAACGAATAAAAATTTGTACGTAACAGATAAAATATGAAAATAACTATAATAGAGTAAGATCCCAAAGCCGCCAGCCCTTACTTATTTCTGGTGGACAAAATATGGATAATATTGTACTGTGGGCCACTTTTCATGTATAAGATGACACAGGTACTCAAAAATTTTACTCACTTTATTACAGTCTGAACACTGATTCAAACGTTTGTTGTAGAGAATGTTGTAAACAATTTCCTATTAATACTATCAGACACATTGTGCCAGCAGTATTTATAGACAGACACTTTAAATATCGATAACAAAAACACAAACTGACGAATAAAATTTACGTCAAATTATAAAGATACTTCGTAAATATCGAAACGTATAGATGTTGTCACTTGAAAACAATGCTGGACACTTAAATTAATTAACTCGCAATTCCATAATTAGTTCCCTTTTTGAGAGAATCTCATAAAACAGAGGCCAGAGACCTATGTCGTATTTGCACAATGATACTAAAAAGCCAATAACCCGAACAAATCAAGGATTTTTTTCTGTAGTATCGCAATAATGTAGATGTGTTTGAGGAAATCGGCCTTTAGGACAAGCACGGTAAGCAACTCCACTGCCACTCTTGACATGTTGTCACCCGTACCCCTACTTTGCAGTTAAACATTTGAGTCAAGGTCTGACTGCTCGCACGCTGGTTTACCTTGTTTTATTTACAAAGTGAAAAGATGAATGTGTAACTTTGAATTCGTTTCCTATTGGAAGAATTGATGCCTTTAATCGCTACTTAATAAACAATATTAATAATATATTATAGTGCTTAAAATTCACGCTCATATGAAAACATGTGTAAGTTTTTCATTATCACTAGCAAATAGATGTATAAACTATATGTAAGTATTTTATATTATTCACATAATGTTTGTTTTTAATATTGTAATCCAAAAATTCTTATTATTTCCCTGCTATCTAAGATTAACGGTTTATAATAGCAATAATCTGTATAATGATCAGTAAATCTGTGCAGCCTTTAACGACTTTATCTACAGATTTGGCACAAACGACACGTCTAGCCATACAGTTCCGCATCTCTCTGAAGCTCAAAATGATCACCTTTACACTATTGATGTTGATCCAAATATGGTTCTAAAACTTCTACAGGATTTAAATGTCTCTAAGGGTCCTGGCAGTGACCCTTGATGATGATTTCGCCAATATTTTTGTCAGATATGCGGACTCATTAGTTGCGTCCATAGCGTTTATTTTCAATAGATGTTGTGTGAAGGTTTTTCCCCGATATCTGTAAAACTGCCCACAATGTGCCCATACACAAGAAGGAACTTAAGACGTTGGTTGAGAATTATCGGCCGATAGCAATTATTAATGTTCTCAGCAAGCTATTTGAAAAGGTGGTTCACAATCATGTTTATCCCTACATTAATCGTATTATCCCTGAACAGCAACATGGGTTTATAAAGGGCAGGTCAACTAAGAGCAATCTCGCCGTGTTTTGGCAAGATGTGCTCGAGATCGTTGATGGGGGAAACCAGATCGATACAATCTATACTACACATTTTGAGAAGGCATTTGATCGCGTCGATCATTTAATCCTTCTCCGTAAGCTTCACGAAATCAGAATACGTAGAGACATGCTTAGGTGGTTTGAGTCTCACCTGCTCATTCGACGTCAAGCGGTAGTTATGGGTGAACTCAGATCTGACTTTGTTACAATACCATCCGGTGTGCCGCAGTGTTCGATAATCGGTTCTCTTCTGTATGTTGCTTACCTCTACGACATAGGTCAGTGTTTTCGATATGCTAAGTATGTAATGTATGCAGATGATACGAAGATGATATGTCAATAAAATCTACCTTGGACTGCCTAAAACTTTAGGAGGATTTATATAGACTGCAACTTATTACCAACAAAATAAAAAAAAAACAATTCGACCCAGTGTTTGATAATTGCATTTACGCGCAAAAGAGGTCCTATTGCGTTTGATTATTGTTTGATTAGCACATCCATTACACGAATTAATATGATAAAAGATCTCGGTTTACTCTTTGATGATATATTAACTTTTTCAACCTATGTAGCAACAATAGTCAACAAAGCTTATAAAATTTTAGGGTTTATCTTGAGGATTAGCAAGCCTTGTACTGATACTCTCTGTTTAAAGATTCTGTACTTTGCATACTATCGTAGTATTTTTGAATATTGCTGCAACATTTGGAATCCACAATATATTACCTATAAACATGACTTGTACGGACTATAGGGAAGGATGTCGTTTCCCTCTTGAGGACAGGCGCACTATGCTTGATATAACATTTCTTTACGACGTTTTCAATGGGACTATAGACTGCACTGAGCTTGCCTCTTCATTTTTAACACTCTACACACCCACTACCCGTACCACACATACATCTTCTTTCTTTTTCGCAATTCCTACATATCGCACCAACTATGCACAAAACTTAGTTGTTTTTCGATCGCAATGTATTTACAACAAAAAAATTCACAGCTGCTTGTAAAATTAAAGCATCTTCAAAAAACAACTTTTAGGGCTGTTGGTTGATTGGTAATATACAAACAAAAATAAAATACATAGACATGCATACATATACACACACAAACTCACACACACACATAAATATATACACGCGCGCATTGCACACATCTCGCCCTTGTTTGATAAAGGGTTTCTAAACTTTTATGTTATAACAAAAAAAATCTAATCCGTAATTTGCATTAAGATAAACTTCATTGAAAAACTTGTATTATATTAAGAAAGTGCTGTGGATTTTGGTCTAGAATTAAATAAATAAATAATTTCTTTAAACGTAAGATGCTAAGCTGGCTGTTACTTTTAAAAGAACAGGGTCCCTAAATAATGTAAAATGTAATTGTTGTTTAAATAATATTATTGTTAATAACTTTCAGAAGGTAAAATAAATAATAGGGTAAAAATCTACAGAATCAAAGAGAAATTTTATGCCTTTTTATTACTTTTTAAACCAATTTAGTACCGACACACCCGATTTATTATTATCTTCACCCATATAATAGTCAAATTTCAGTGGATCTTGCACTGGGTCCTTAGATTTTATATTAATGTAGGATCTAAGAAGGTAACACAAATCAATTAATGCGAATAGTTCAAAAGTTATTAGGAACTATTTGATTGAAAAGATTGAGCAGACGGCAACTTATCCATTTATTCATAACTGTAATTTTTTGAGCTTTAGCATGCACGATAAAAAGATTTACAATAGGAAAAACAGTAAGTGGTAATTTAATGTGTGGGATTATAGTTATGTGGAAAATATTACTATTGCAATATGTAACTTACGACCGCACTCGAAGACTGTATATAGTTACTTACTTAATACTTGTAAATAATAACGTGTTGTATTATCATATTGATATAGTAAGAAAGTAACACCATATACTTTAACCGAACTTAAAAATATAAAGAACGATCCAAGGGAAACTTTTAAATTAATTAATAAAAAAGTCCTTCCTCGGCTGAGACTTGAACCCGGAACGCCTGGGAAGGAAGCGTTTTGAGCTTTCTACCACTGAACCACCGACGCTTGTTAATATGGTCTGAATTTTACAAATACCAATTAAAAATGTAATCCAACATGCTACAGATGAACGAAAATATTTGTGGCGATTTAATAAAAGTTTATTTATTTACCTATTTATTCCATTCTTGATGTACAAAGACGGACTTAATGCCGTAGGAATTCTCCACCAGTCAAACATAGGATGTTGTGGAGACAATTAGTGGTAGGGTGCGTAACTGAGATGGAGAATACACTTAACCAAATAAATATAAATATTAATAATGAATATAAAGTTTCACTATAAGATATGTACTTTTTTAGTGGGACCCTATAATACTTAAAAAGCTTACTTGTTTATTCATTACTTACCATAAAGTGGTCCGACCATTATCAAATACAATACGATGACTAAGAATATTTGCAGTCTGCCGTCGGAGGCTCGCGGTCTTAAGGCCACCAGTACTGTATTACCAACGAGTCCGAACACATCCCTAAATATCTTCTCACATTTGTTTCCACTAGTATTGTCTAAAGTCACCTCATTCTTCTCGATCGCGACATCTTCCAACCTTACTGCACCGTATAAAAACGAAAACATATGCAGGAAAAGCAATAACGTAAACACACCATAGTAACCGAGTCCTCTTAACAAAACACCACTCAGAGCCGTGCCAGTAGGCGTTCCGAAGCTGACAAATATTGTCACAATACCCAATCGAAACGTTCTATTCTCTATTGTTGTTCTATCCGACATGAAACTGTACATGCCCATAAATATAATAATGTAACTCCCAGTGAATGCGGCAGGCAAAGCTTCTATTAACGCCGTAGCCTGTAGCGACAGTTCCTTGAAATAGTACGTAGCAAAAAGTAGTCCTATATTCGTAACGATCTCCCCTATGAATGGGAATAGTATGCATATCTTTCGTCTTTTGTACTTGTCGCTCCACGCTCCGACGAACAGTACCAAAACCGCCGGGATCGCTGTCTGAAGCGGGAATTTCCATGCCATTACCTTCGCTACCAAAGTTTGAACTTGACTCAATTCCGATTCTAAGCCAGTGGTATTTAAGTCTCTTATTCTATCGCATATATCGTCACCGAAGTCGTAATGTACTCTGCAGGACTTTTCCAGGTGCATGTTCTGCACTGCCATCGAAGATAAGGAGGTGCACAGCATGTAAATAAACAAGCAAGGCTCGACGGTCGTCTCGCGAAAAAAGCATTTGACGCTCTTCAGTATCCTCTTGGGTTTTTCTATCCACGACCCTTTCTTCTGATGATTGGTGAGTAGAATGGTGGAGTTCGTTAGGTCGTTGACACTGCATATTTTTTCGGTGCTAGACATCATGGTTTTTGACGTCGAGTTTTTCACTACGGTCCGCTCTCCCCGTGAGTCACGATACGAATAAGTTGGTGCTGTTTCCAAAAACCCGGGCTGTAAAACTGAGGTTGTTGTGAGTGAAGTGAGGCGCGATATGAGCGTGCGCGGACGCATACGGCGCGCTCGCCTCGCATCTCGCCGGCTGCGATAACAGAGGACTCACCAGCGCGGCGACGACACCACTTTTAAATAAATAACTCATTTATCTGAGCAGTACTTACTTACACAAGTATTGCCGTTTATTTTTCCACGCGTATTAAACCGATACAACAGGAATTCCAATAATTAACACCGTAACGGTGAACCATTGTTTAAAATATAATGATAGCGTTAAGTGTCGTGTCGGAAGTTATGTAGTCAGTTATTTGTATAACGTAAACATAACACATATACGGAATAAAATGCATTAAAAATAGTTTAAATGTTTTGTATTCAATGACAAATTGGATTGATATTATATTAATTTTCTTTATCCCACTATTTTAAAATAAAACGACCAAATCAACTTATAATTAAGGAACTTCGATAATCGATAAACACTTAATTACACTATGGATTTATTGCTGTATTCGTTGTTATATTCTTTAAATGACATAAATAAACTAATATAGATAACATTAATTGCAACTGCATTTAGTTTATTAAAAGTAATACACTAATCTCGATTGGGCTGATGTAAGTACCTACCGATAATAGTAAATGACGTCAAACAAAAATCAATCGAAGGCCCAAGCACGACCTTTGACAGCTACGAAATGGTATCGCATCGTTAAAGTTTCTATGAAAGCTAAACGTCCCTACCGGACCGGACTTAAGAACAAACTGGCTTTTTCCATACAAAATTTGATGATGTAGATACGATCTGTCAAAGTTTGTACTTGGGCCTCTGACTAGTTTTAATCATAACCTCATTGAAATAGAGTTCTAGAAAAAATATAATCAATGAGCCAAACTACTCTGTCTGTTAAATTCACTGATGTAGTTAAATAAGTATAAACGTACTTCAAAATAAGTGTAAGCCAGTGAAAGTGAGAGGATACCAGTTAAAAAAAAGAAGTTAACGATTGCGAAAGAAATCAGGACAATGATAACTTCCTTGGAGAACGCTTCGAAGCTAAATATTACAGTAAAAATGTCATTAAAACGTCCGTCGGTCGGTTAGATTACCAAAAAAGAAATTAACAATTGTTTTTTCTTTTGTCAATCGAACAAAAAAAAACAAAGGTAAAGCGCGTCAAAGTTTAAGAGTGGGGCTCATGACTTCTAAATACTAAGACGTAACGTCATGCATAATTTCAAATAAGTATAGGTATAATGTATATATTTTAGTGTATCTTTATAACTTTATAATTAAATAAATAAAGAAAAAATACGTGTCCAATACTTTTTATAGTCGAAGAAAAAAAATGAGTAATTTATGTGGAAGTAATTCGACAGCTAATATTTTGTCAAATAAAACTTGATCAAATTTCTGAAGAGTCGACGATTGGTACTTTGCAACCGCGAAATTAAAAATAAAGAGGACATCTCTTTATTTTTAATTTCGCGTACTTACAATGCTCGTTGTATTCAATAGTTTTTTACTGGTTATTCCATGTGTTTATTAGGATTTCTCACATTATTTTTGACTTTAAAGTTTTTTTTCAGTGACATGAAATCAAGAAATGTAAAATTAGGGCTCCTAAAAATTTTTTTTCATTTTTTTTTAATTTTACACCCCTTTTATTGTATTGGACCAGCGTATAAAAATATGTTTCAGAACACATTGCTTATTTTGTGAAATTTTGAAGGCTGTATAGTATTTCGTTTCTACTGTATGTACTTCAGGTACGGAACATTAATGGCCTGCGCAGACGACGGACTTATGTCCGCGGAGAATTTTTAACCCCGTATTATAAAAAAAATTACCGCCGTGGACTTGTCACGGATTCAACGCACACCATGTGCGGATACATGCGGACATTTCTTGCTGGGAAATTTAGTGCAACACACGCTATGGATGCAATGTGATCGATGAAAATTCTGAGATTACGTTGTTTTGCTATGCTATCTAATATCTTCTATTGCTAGCTGTTCGATCAATTTGTAATCTTAAAGTTAAAGGATCTTTAAGAGGTAAATTTAAAAAAATTGGCATAACGACGGTCGGGTCGCATCACAATACATATACGAAAATGTATTACTTGTAAGAAACAATATTAATTTTGTTTCTTAAAAACAAACAAAAATATACAAACTTAACGCTACCAGGCTTCACAAAATCAATACCCAAATCATTAAATGTCTTTGTGTTCGCTTATACTATAAAGTCCCAAGCAATATCCATGAGTTAACCATATATAGATTCAAAGATAGCGTAAAAAAGCTTATTACAAAGTGTCTGATTATATTACAGACAAATATGCTTGGGTTTGAACTGTTCCAATCATTCCAACGGGTTTTCTATATTAAATAAATGTATTGACGTTGTAACAACATATTTTTTTTATTATTATTTTAAAGCATGTAACTCCTTGATGTTTAAATCTAACATAAAATAATTATTTGTAAATGTTGTTACATTATACTTTTTGTTCTGGAGTTTTTTTGGCTCGTTTTTCTCCGCAGCTAAAAAATATGTCCAATAACGAGTGGTAGGGAAAACAATTTGAACGATTCAAAAGAATTGTACTATACATCCAATTTGAATAAAGAAATATTGATTTCCGATTGTGAGTAACATGAAGTTTAAGAAAAAGAAAAGACGTCTTAAAAGGGACTATTGGTCCATTGGATTGATTATACATTTGTATTGTTGTGGTTTTTTCATTATGCTTTCACTATAATATTGAATAGAGCAATGTTTCACGATCTTTCTGAAAGATAATTAAATATAGTTTAAATATAAAACGATGCAAAAAATACAAACATCATACTTGAATTTGATTTTATTAGTTAATGAAATCTCTTAAAATAGTGAGCTCAAAAGACATGACGCCACAATAAAAAATGTAATTGCTTAATTTTATCTTTTTAATTCCAGATTTAGGAAACCTTCCACAATTATTTGATAATTCTCTTAATTATTTTATTTATATTTCTGATGATGAAATCTATAAGCGCTAAAGAATTTCTTTAACAAATATTTTGCCATCGTCCTTTCGATCGCGATACTCTTTTTTTGATAAATCGTATAAAGATCTTTTTTCCACTTCTTTTATTAAAATTTTATTTCGATTTCATGCGCCACTGTGCATACATAGGTATATCACTCACGCGGACGCGGACTAAAGTCCGCCGTGTGCGTTGCCGCCTCTTGGTTCAAATTTTTACGCGGACTCTCGCGTACTTTTGTCCTCTCCGATCGAGGTACCCCGAACCCCGAACTACGGGGTTCGGGGGACAATTTGTCCCCGGTATTTTTAATCCGTCGTGTATGTTACTCGATGCAGCTGTAACCAATCTATTAAGGTGGACAAAAGTCCCTCGTCTGCGCAGGCTATCAATAAAATAATAAGTACATAAGGTAGTAACACTAATGACCGATAAGAGCCAACGATCGTATTTTTTTCTGTGATCAATAAAAATTAGAGTAGGTAACTAACTGATCGATTAAAATAGTAATACCGAGCGTCTAATTGTTTATAAACGTGTCTTTAAAAAGTATTAGAAATTGTAGGTTACTTTTTTTAGTTTGAATTACACCACAAAAAAATGTGTTGTTGTTTATGAAATATATTTCTTCTATAGTTTATATTTAAGTATTCCAATTAAACTGTACAACTACATATTAGGTATGCCTATAATTTGTTGTATATTTTGTTAAACACGTTTACCTCGATAGGATAGGATTTCATATCTTGTAATATAGGTAAAGTGAAAATTTGAAATTCGTTAAGTCACTTAATTATACAATGAACTCCGTTACTGATATTCCTTTAGTAGGTATACTATGTAGCTTACATAATACGTATGCCTGGTATAACTTAAGTACCTACCCAATTGATTTTTTTATGTTAAAAAGTTGCCAAACAAACATATGCCGTTTGGCCTGCCCTTGGCATGCCTGATGGTAAGCGATCACCATAGCCTATAGAAGCTTGCAGTATCAAAAATTCACTGCACTTTTGACAAATGTTTCCGGGAATATTCCCAGTAAAATTCATAATGTTTCCGGGTACGGAAGATTACTACACAACATTATTTGTATTTAGGTCACTTCCATCTTACTCCACTTAAAGATCTGTGGAGCTCTGGTAATCTTATTTGCTAGAACCACGAAAAAGAAACTTTTTTGTAAGTGGAATCTATCCATCCATCCATTTCCATTAGTCATATTTTTTTCAGAACTAGCGTCACCGCTTTAGTCTTAATGTTGAGCCTATTTAAAGGTAAAAAAAAACAGATTCTCATATGTCTATATCGCTCTGATTTGTTTTGAAATTTCAAATTCAGCGCTACCATTTTGTTGCGACAGGTGTAACACGCCTATAAGCCCTCCCAACTATTCTCTATGTTCTGTAGCTAAAACGTAAAAATATAATCGTATTGGGTTGGGTGATGAAAATCCTGTAGAATGTGAGACATGAATTCTTAAAATCGACATTCCATGCATCCTGAAAATTGTCATGTCGTGTCATACTACGACTACGGTACACCAAATCCGTTATCAGCCGAACTAAGCTTGGGCGTCATTGGGCAACCTTGGCCGATCGAATCAAACGTATGTAAAAGAAAGAGAGCCCGTACACACTACTACAATCGCTATTGTCCAAATACAATTATACGGATTATCAGCCGAGTTTGGTTGATGAAAGCCTTACATAATTCGGCCGATAACGGATTATGTGTATCCGAAGAATTAGCCATTACAAACTATGCAACGCTCAGTAAGATCTAATGGACGATTTTCGATTTATTCGGTTGAGTTTCAATATATCGTGTCTATCTTCATCCATTGTACTCTCTAACATAGTTTTTAGTGCCTTAAATCGGCTTTGCGTCTGCGAATGATCTGCCGATATTACGAGCGTTCTTATGTACGGTCGTTTACACAAGCTTCGTTCTTCTACATACCTGTCTTTTGACTGCAACGCGAATTGTGCAGTGTTTAGAGCGGACTAGAAGGTTGGTGCGATTTGTTTATCGACTGTACACCTGCGCGAAGCAACTTCAGAGCGGACTGAAGTTTGGCGCACGATCTGTAGCATGGCAAAATTACACTTGGTCGTTAGCCCGTTTTCGGGTGCACGAAAGACATTATACGAATTCGGGCACCTGACCCTTTGGAAGACGGCGTCGGGTAACCAAAACGAAAACTGGCTGAATAGGGGCGTACTCTGTTCATGTACCCTTTATTTAGTCGTTTGTCCGAATTTCATAGGCAATCGAATTCGGGCTTTTGACCAATTGTAAAAGCGCCAAGACTTATCGCTTGATTTTGTGCCACCTGGTAGTACAAAGCAGTAATATAACAAAAAGTTGGCTCATGTCGCAGGCGGGATCTAAGCTGCAAAGTCACTTTATTGAGCCTCATTTTTTCTCCACTTCATAAATTGTTTAGTTCTAAACAACTTATGCCATATTATAACTAAGGAAAAATAAAGAAAATTAGAATCAAAGGTATTTTAATAGAACCACACTTAGAGGTATCCAGTGTTTATTAGTAAGTTGTTATTCAAAACTCTACATAATTTCGTATATTATGGGAATACATTTAAAGAAAACACATTAAAATATTTTACTCGTGACATTTCTTGAGCAATAAGGTCAAACACAAAGTGTTACAAGTAATCAATTTAGAAAGTTGATTATTCCATTTGGTTTTAAATC